GAGTGTGTTAGCAAGTGTTATGCCATGGTATGTGATTGTTTTGGTCTTTGTCAATCTAATCTATTATTTTTTCTAGTTTGAAATGTTGTTCTCATTATCTGATGGATTTAGATTCCACTGCATAACTTCCTTGGGATCTGATAACTCATGTTGGCTGGGGGATGAGAGGGAGAAAAATATTGCAGCTGAAATACCTCTTCAGCTTTGGATTTGATCTTGCTTTTTGGTCTTTGTCAGGGTCAAAGAGCATACGTGTGTGTGTGTGTGTTTAATTATAAAAGAAATTTAATATATCCTTTGAGTGTTCTCTTTGTGCATTTCCTGCAACAAAAGCTTTTAAAATCAAGGTAGGAACATGGCAAATAAATAAATTTCATGTTATTTCAATCTTTTTTTCCTTCCTCAGCTTTTGCCATGTTTCTGATTAAAGATTGACGTTCCTGCATAAGTATTTCTCTGCAAAAATGTCCTTGCCTCTCACTGAGGAGCAGAGGAAGAAGATTGAAGAAAATCGACAAAAGGCTCTGGCTCGTAGAGCTGAGAAATTATTAGAACAGCACCAGCGTGCAGGCTTGAGCTCCTCCATTGCTGCCCACCCATCCCAGTCCAAGCACAACCCTTCCCCAAATCTCCCCAGGGATCCTTCTAAGCCAGTGAGCCATGGTGTCAGTTTTGAGCAACAAAATCCTAGTAGTTCATCTAATGGTGACCAAAGACCTCATAATCCCCACAGTTTTCATCTTAGCACTCCAGATCAGGCAAAGGGGACATGGAAGTGGCAAGAAGTGATGTCCACAGCCTACCCTCACCAAAGCCCACCAAGTCAAAAGACTCTCACTGGGATCTCCCCTCCCTTGGCACAAAGTCCTCCAGAGGTTTCCAATGAGTGGCTTTTGGGTCCTGGGTTAGGTCAAGGTCATCCTCAGGCTTCACATGGGACCAAATCGACACCCTTTGCTAACACAACTCATGAGCCTTTGGCCAAAGGAGAGAGTTCTCAGGATACACCAACTATCTCTGGACAGACTCCCAAGGATCCTAAATTGGAGGCCACGCCAGCAAGACCCTTGTCCACCTTAGGGCAGAACGTTTCCAATGTCCTCTGTGGCTCAGGGAGTGTGATGCCCAGGACAGAGGGAAAACTCCAACAGAAATCGCAGGCTTCACTCCCTAAAACAGTAAGCTCACAGGAGGGAAAATGCATAAGGAATGGAGACCGCTTCCAGGTGAAGATTGGGTACAATGCAGAGCTCATTGCTGTGTTTAAGCGTCTGCCCAGCAGAAGTTTTGGTAATGAGTCTTTATTCAGTCTAGTTCTTCAGATGTTTTATTTTTCTATTTCTAGAGTCTCTTTTAATCTAGCAGTTTCTCATAAATATGAAGAGGGTACATTGGCACATTCTGTCCATCCAGTTGTTAAATTTTTTGTCTGTTTTAGCTTGTGTTTCCTTTTGTCATAGACGTTCCCTCAAATAGCTGCCAAAATCAGGGGCTGCCAAATGGCCATATGGAGAATAGATGAATGTTTACTGGCAGGCCAGCTCCTCTGCCAGATGCTTTATATGCATTGTGGCACTTAAGCCTAAAAACAATTTTTTGATAAAAGTAGATGTTTCCATTTTAAAGGCGATGGAAACTGGCTCAGCAAGGTGAAGTAACATGCTCAGGTTGGTTTGTCTGAAGGGCAGAGCTGGAATGTGGCTTGCTCTGCCTTGCCTTGGTGTACACCTTTCTCATGTCAGAGCTTTGCCAGATGACAATGGGTCTCAGAGAACTTGGATTCTTGTCCCACCTCTGCCCTCAGCCCTCTTAAGTGAGGCCAGTAGCATCCTAGGGCCTGACTTGAATTTGACAATATGGTATAAAAAGCATCGTCCTGATTTATATTTACTGTTTGTCCTCTGCAAACGTTTTGTAAATCAGTGGGGGCTTGCCAGTCAACTGTTTTGAACTTAGCATTCATTCATTCACTCACTCATTCATTAAACAAGCTTTTATTAAATGTCCAGGTACAATTTATAACCTCATTGTGGACAGACCAAGTACTTCTGTTTTATTTCAGATCCTGACACCAAGACATGGAACTTCAGCATGACTGACTACAATGCCCTAAGTAAGTGGTGTGTCATCACCCCTCACCCAGGAAATACTGCTATTGAAAAGTTTCTTTGGAGTAGCAAATGTGGTCTAGCTTGTGGGCACCATCCCGAAGCTTTTCTTCTTACTAAGGCTGACCTGGTGAGGAAGCTCCTTGGGTGAGAGTCACTGGTAATATTGATAAAAGTTGGCCCTTAATGGAGCCTGCTATGTTCCAGGCTGTTCTAAGCCCCTTACATATGCTAAATCTTTTATCTCTTAGAACAGTCATTTTACAGATGGGAAAACTGAGGCCCAGAGAGGATATGTAACTACCATAGGGTCACACAGCCAATAAGTTGTACAACTGGGATTCAAACCCAGACGGTCTAACTTCAGACTGCATGTTCCCATTGGACTGCTCGTTCCAGCCATGATGGGTGGCCATGCCAGCCCCTGCTCCCAGGAAGGTTGACAATTCAGCAAACAACCTAAATCCTCATAATAGTCTCTATGCAGCTAAACCTTGAACAATCTTGCAATGATTGTGGATTTGTACATTTATCTTAGTTTGTAAATTTTCAGATAGTTTCTTGATTGTTATGTCTTCCTAGTAGATTATACTCTTCATCAAAATAATATATAAAGATGACCTCTGTCAGTCTTTCTGTAATTTTGGGTGTACATCTCAGAATTTTGCTTTTTTAATCCTAATACACGCTTATCGTAGAACATATAGAAAGTATATCAATGTGTAAAGAAGAAAAACTCCCGCATGATGTCCCCACTCAGTTAACCACTATTAACATTTTGTTCCTTCCAGCCTTTTTTCTATGCACTAAAATATACAAATTTTTACATATATAGTGTAATTTTTATCATGCCTCTTTCTCTTAGTGTTCCAGCATAGCATTTTTATTTTAATGGTGAATGTTAACAGTCAATTCTGAGTGACGAAAATGCAGGTGTCCATTATTAGATCACTTTGACCTCCAAAAAAATGATTTCCTATTGTTGAACTTAATACCGTTTTTTCTTTTATGCATTTTTGTCTTTTCCAGAATTTCTTCCAGAAAACAATGGCTATATGACATTTCATTGTATAATTGTGTTATACATTGCTTAAATCATTTTCTTTTTGTCATTTTTATTCAATTACAATTGACACTTAATACGACTTTATATTACTTTCAGGTTCTTTATGTCTATTTCAATTTGCTCCCAGTTTTTTTAGTTTTAAAGTTGTAAGAAACACCTTTATCCATAAATTTTTGTATTTTCAATTGTTAATTGGGAGAGATTCTTAGAAATTGGATCATTATGATCACTTTTTATGGCTCTTGCTGTATATTACCACGTTGTTTTCCAAAAGGTATTATTATAAACTAGGAATAGATACCTATTTTTTTAATTTTGTGAATTTGATAAGTAAAAAAAAAAATGACTTATTATTTCTGATTATTTAAAGTTGCACGTTTCTTCAAATGTTTGTCATTCCTTCCCCTCGTTTGAATTGGCCATATCTTTACTTTTGTGGTCTTGGTACGTTTTTAAGTCTGAGCTCTGTTTCTTTCTTGCAAGTATCTTTATTCAGTAGTTTTGCCTTTCAGTTTGTGTTTTTTTGATAATTTGGTTTTATGTAGTCTAATCTTTTAATCTCTAAAATACATCAATGATAGACTAAAAAAATAAGTTTCAAAACTGCTCCTGTGGCCTGACAGTCCCTTTTCTCTTTCCTTTGTTCTCTGAGCAGAGTAGTGACCTGGGAATAGGGTTAAGTGGATAATTTCTGGTGTGTTGACTTCAGTGGTTTCTATGACACAGCAACAGAAATTATCTAATGAATTTACTCATTCTAGTGAGATCCTTCTTCCCCCTATTAATTTCTGACTTCTAAGTGTGTTAATTTGAAATTTTAAGGAACAGGAGAGTTATGTTCAATAAATACCGAAATCCCCAAGGCCCCAGGTAAAGCACATTTGCAAACCTTTGCAATCCAGCAGTGCCTTTTCTCGCCTACCTGCCACATGCAATTTCTCTTGTCCCTGCCTTCTTCCTTCGCCGGCCTGAGCATCCCAGGGCATATGAAAGTCATCCACTTTGTCACATCTTTGGTTCTCCTCTTCTTCGGCAGTGAAAGCAGCCCAGCACCTCTCCACAGTCACCTTGCAGCCTTTGGAAGAGGCCAGCGGTGTGTCACAGACCAGCCTTCCTTCAGCTCCCTCCCTTGCCTTTGTCAAAGGGCAGTGCGTGCTCATCTCCCGGGCCCGCTTCGAAGCAGACATTGGCTATTCAGAAGTGTTGATGGCACTGTTTAAACAGATGGATTCCAGAAATTACGGCAAGTAATTGGCCTCTGCCTAAGTCCCAGGATGCATAGTGTTCTGTGATCTCAGAGTAGGGTGTTTTTCTCTCCCAATATTCAGAAATTACTTTCTTGGTAGAGCCTTCCTGTGATCTGCTCCACTTATTGTAGAAAGGTGATGCCTAAATTGTTCCAGATAGAGAACACATAGTGGGGCCTGTTTTATCCTTAAAGGCCTCTCAGAGAAGACCCCACAATTTTCCCCAGTCACCCAGTGTCTTCTTTGTAGAGAAGCAGATAAATTCCTGCTTCAGCCATTAAACCTGCCTGTCTATATCTTGTCCTTAGCCGAGCTTGAAAAACAGATGGTTACCATAAAAATAAATGCCTTTCTATAGACTAAGATAGCGGTTCTCAAACTTGAGCATGCATTAGAACCACCTGGTGGGCTTGGTAAAACACAGATGGCTGGGCCCTGCCCCCAGGGTAAATACTGAGGCCTGCTTCCCACCCAAAGATACCAAATTAATTGGTTTAAAGTGGGCCTGAGCATTGGTATCTTTTTAAATCTCTGGGTAAGTCTAATAATCAGCCAGGATTGACAACCACTGGCCAAAGCCCAGCCGCTTTGCTTTATTTTTTTGTGAGGTTCTTCAGCAGCTGTCCTGTCAGAATAAGGGCAGAAGTCAGCTTTAGAATTCTGAGCTGTCTTTCAATCTTAGCTTGGCCCACATTGTTTTGCAGAACAGTGTGGCTTTAATGGATTCATATTCCCATTCTTGAAATGGTTTTAGCCTTTTCCTGGGCAAGTAGAAAGTAAACCCTTAACACCTCTTGTCTTTGAAACATCACATTCAGGCAACTTCATGGAAGATGCCTGCGTAGAATTACTTGCTCAGTGAGCTTTCATCAGGGCTTGGGGCTCCTTCAGGAGGAGGGTGATACTAGCTGTTACATTTTTACCCTTTAGATGGATACAGTTTTAACTGGTGAGGGCAGGCTGGTGAGCAGGGTTTAGTTGAGATGGGCTGAGAATGAGCTGCTGACGCAAGGGCCAGAATTCTTTGCCTCTCCTGCCCCCGTTAAGATTGTCAGCTTTAGCTTGGGGTGGCCCTCAGCAGGCAAGTACAAGTGACTGGTGTCTTCTGAAAAGTATGACCTTTGACATAGTCTGCTATTTTGGGAATGTAAACAGCTAAAATACTGACACCCAGTCCTGCCGACACCCAGACATCCAAAACCACAACTGGATCTTTTGTCGTAGCTCCTGTTCACAGGCTTCCTTCCCCTTTTGCTGCTCTGACACTGTCAGGATCACGCTGTTGTCAGGAAGAGTCTCCCACACTTCTCCCACAGCGAGGGGAACCTGTCAGCTTTTGGGCTTTCCGTCAGGTTACACCTAAGCTACTTTGCTTTTTTCCTGACTCTGACTCAGAGTCCATGATGTCCATGATGCTTTTTCTCTGACCACCTGCTTTCTCTGTGGCCAGAGAAGAATTAACTGTTGCCATTCAGAAAGCATTTATCAAGTCGAAGCTTTCTTGATTTTCTCAGATAGATTGGTAGGGTAATCTTTCTTAAGTAATTAGCCAAAGTTGGTTAATGAGATGCTCATCCTTCTTAGTAAATATTGTGTATAGTTTATGCCACATGGTACTAATCAGCAGATGGCATAATAATAATAAAAATAATAATTTATGATTGCTTTTTCTGAGTGCTCATTGTTTGCCAGGCACACTTTCATAAGCATTTTTCATTTAAATTTTATGTAATTCTCTCAAGAACCCTGTGAGGCAGAGGCGGTAGTATCCTCATTTTTCAGATGTGAGAACTGAGGCACAGAGAAGTTATGTGAGTTGCCCAAGGTCACATATCTAGGAGGTGGCAAAGCTGGGATTTTAACGTAGGCTTTGTGACCGTTCCACCTACATGCAGCTCGTTTCATGTGTATAAAAGGGATCGAAAAATAGTGCCCAGCTTTGAGCACAGTGAGGAACAGAGGAGAAGGTGCACGTGAATCTTGCCACCGTGCCTGGCTTGAAGTAAGCACTGAATAAGTGTGAGATACAAATATTATCCCCTATCTTGGAAATTCAGGGCATTTCTGACTGCTGGGCCATCCCCAGCCACGTATCCCTGGAGCAGTTTGTCACCACCCTTACAACCCGGTATTGCCGCTGAGTCTGCTTGACTTTCCTCCCTGAATTCTGTGACATCTCGTGGGTGGGTACTCTCACTTTCCGTATCCCCAGTGCCAGGCACAAACCAGGGAATGAGGGAGTGATGATCTAGGAGAAGGGTAGAGTGTCATATTTGCTTATTTGTTTCTTCTCATTGCAGATGTCAAGACCAGGAAGTGGAACTTTCTCTTGGAAGAGCACAATAAACTAAGTAAGATTCCCACCTTTCTTGTCTTATATCACGCTATTGTTAAGCTTTAATTATCTGCCTTAAATTTAACGTATTTTAGAAGACTCTCCTCCCTCTGCCTCGGTAACATCACACGCTCTGTACAGGACAAGTAAAAATGGCAATGTTCTCAGGTAGCTGTGTCTCTGTCCGCTGAGATGGTGGCTTTACAGCAGCCCAAGTGAACGCAGGGCCTCTTCTTCCATCAGGGTGAGAGATGCTCGTCAGATCCTCGAGGCCGTGAAATCTCCTGCCATCATAGAAGTATTAGCAGGGAGGGAATGTGGACTTCGGGGATCAGAGGGGATCTAGGGTTACTTAGCTAGGAAGCCACTTTAGAGTCCAAGAACAGCCTCTCCCTTTACTTCTAGAACCAGATAATCAACCAGAGGCAGATGCTAGGCCAGGGCACATAAGCCTTTAATGAGTACTTTGGAGACTGACCAAGGGAAGGGTTATATGTACCGATAGAACTACAAGAAGGAGAATCTCATTTGGGCCTGTCATTTTTCTTCTCTGTGTCCCGCTTGGGTGAGGCAAAAAATTCTAATATGCCTGAGAAAGGGGGATATAGTCACATCTCAGCCTGGCCTGGAATGCCAGCGTGTCACCCATCTTCCGAGCTGTCACGATTCTGCAGTGGGTGTGCAGTGGCACAACTTACGTTCCTCCCTCCTGACCTCCTTGGGGACTCATTGGCCAGCCAGTGGTGGTGCCACCGAGTACTGGAGAGACATGATCCAGCCCGGGAGCTCCAAATCATTGGCCATCTTGCCTACCGGGCTAGGGCTTTAAAAGCTGGGTCTCTCCCCTTTGTCTCCTCATGTGACTTAATATGTGACCTCAGGTAGATAATTCAACATTCTTGGTCCTGTTTGTTCTTTTAGTAAAAAGGAGGCGGGGAGTAGATAGGTCTTTAATCTCTATCTACCCTAACGCCAGAAATTAAATATAAAGGAAGAGCTTTGAATTCCTTGAGGAAAGACTCGTTGCAAACTCAAGGTTAAGTTTGAATATGATGAGGTACTTAGTATCAGGAGACATTAGCTGAAGCAGAAAGAATTGCTGACATTGATCTGAGACCCCATGGCTGCTGCTACGTGGGTCTTGTGATTCAGAGTGAACTATTAGCCAAAGCTGACTTTTTGATGAGCAATAGGAGCAAGTTTTTCCCTCTACTTTGTCTTTCAACCACAGAAAGACATATAAATATGTTAGCTATAAAGAACTGACTTGCATGGAATGACAAAAAGCAGTATACATACAGCGTTAGCATATGAATGTAATTTTGAAAACCATGCCTCGTGACTCACTTAGCATTATATAGTGATTCCAGCTCTTTTGTGGGCTATAGACTCTGAAATATCTGATGAAAATAACGGATTCTTCATCCAGAAACACACACATAATGGCCGTACTTAAGATTTTGCATTTGATATTAATCCCATGGATCTGGAGTTGAGAATTCTAGATTTTAGAGTTCATACTTTTTACATGCTCTCTTGTCATTACAATGTCTTGTGGAAGGTAAGACTGATTCTCCCCATTTCATAGATTGGACCCAGAGAAAAGAAACTGTTGTTTTCCTTATTGGGAGCATCACAGGGTTATAACAAAGTCAGTGACAAAAATCAGACTAAAATTGTGATCTTGAGTTTGTAACATGATTCATGAACTAAGAGGTCAGGGAGACAAGACACTGTGGAGTATCACAGTTCTGGTTTAGCTCTGAGTCCACCATTAGCAGACTAAACAGGGGAATTTGCCCCTCTCCTCATCCCTAGGGCTGGTTCCCCATGTGTGAAATTAGATTATTGACCCTGAGCTGGCGAACATGTGCATGCTAATTAAAAATGACAGTAAGATGTTCCGAGTATGTGAATACTTGTCGATGATGTAGTGGCGGTTATGTTCTCCAGGTTAGGTGAATCTAAGAGCTTACCTCCTCTCTCTTTCCTAAGTGACTTGAGGCCTTTTGCCCATAGTGCAGTTGGCATAAAGCCTTTTGTTTTCCCCGTCACAGTCCGGAAGGGTTCTGTGTCCTCCTCAACGATCTTGTCAGCCACTACTTGAAAACATTGACATCTGTGCTGCGTGGCTCAGTGGTGGTCTGCCAAAGAGCTGTTTTACAGAAACGACTTCTAGATGACTCGTGAAGTCAGACAGCACATTCCTGTCAGCTCCCGGCACAGGGCAAGGACAGCAGCCACAGTCACTGCCAGCGAATGGGGGGCTCTCTCAGAAACACAGCTGCTGACCGAACTAGCAGCGTAGGATTTTGGAGGCAGCAGTTTGTAGAAAACAGAGTGGAGGTTGGTTTTTCCCTCTTGAGTGGTGAAAGAACACAGTGCTTACAAAGTACCGCATTTCACATCGGCTGGATCATCAGCCGCGTCTTAGTTTTCATCAGGTATTTGAGTTCTGAAGATTGCCAGGATTAAAATGAAAATGGTTTCCGAAAGCACATAGAGTGCTCAGTCTCCTGAAGTGTGCAGAATCAGCATGCTCAGGTTTAATTTGGCAGCATAAAATGGATTTCTGCATCAGTATGGACAGTCTCTTTTGAATTAAAGCCTTCAACCTTACCTAATTTCTTATCCTGGTAATTCTGCCCTTACAGACTGTTTCCAGAAATAACTGGCACATATATTTAGTGAAAAACAGAAATGGATTTAAATGTATTGCAAATACAAAGCAATTTAAAGTAGCAGTAGATGGCTCAGCCCTCCATATTCACATTAGTATTTGCAGTGATAGCCAATTGATGGTTGTGGCAAAAGATTTTTGTAATACCTTGTGAAGATATTAAGAAAAAAATACCCTATGGAATAAAGAACTAACAACCTTAGAATTTCAAATAATATTGGATGGAAATGAAATATATCCAGTTTCTCTCTACTGGATTCCCTGAGGACAAATGGCCCCTCCATGAGTTACCATAACTCTCCCAGGGTGCCCCTGAAAGGGTAAGGGATAAAGAGCAACTGAGGATCTGCAAACAATGGCCATGCTTCTAATTAGATTTTTTAAAGGGCAATATTAAAAGGGGAGAATATCTAGAAAGCTACGACCCACTGACAGCAGGCTGTGATGAGTAGTTTAATGATAATTTACCACCAGCAATCTCTAGGTCTATCATCTTTTCTCTAACTTTGTAATTTTTTAACTAGTCTTCCCTTGCCCCTTCCCCGCCCCCAAATTGTATCTTTGGTTTTATCTTCTGTTTGTCTATCGAATCAGTTTTTCCCCTCTTAATTTTAAAATCATATGAGGCTACATTCTTTCAAAGAGCAAAATCAGTGAAATTAATTTGCTTTTATTTCCACGTAGATATCAAATAATATATTTTTCCCACTTGGGTTAATGGCTTCTGACTAGAAGAAGGGAATTCCCCATCTATTATGTGGAGGTCTGCAGCCAGCACCCTTGGAAGGAAAGTAAAGACGCCCTACATATAAGCTTTAATGGGAAGACTCAGTCATGGTCACTTTTAGTAATAGCGTAGACTCTGAACTTATCAGGGGTTGGTAAACTTATTTTGTAAAAGGCCAGATAATAAACATTGCAGGCTTTGTGGGCCATGCAATCTTTGTCCCAACTATACAACTTCACCATTATAGCATGAAAGTAGCCACAGATAATCCATAAACAAATGGGCACAACTGTGTTCTAGTAAAGCTATTTACAAAAACAGGCAATAGGCCTATTTGGCCCCCAGGCTTTCACTTGCCAACACTTGCTTAGAGGATAGGTAGGGAGCCAGCAGGTCACCTACAGACTAATGGATTTTCTAGCTGCTTTACTACTGAGATCACTGCCATAAAACTCGCTTTTCTCAAAGGGATATTATTATTCTCTTACGAAAAGGGTCACAAGTGTGCAGGACCAGGTGCATTCCGAGTTGGTAGCCTTCACATGGACTCTGCCTTTGTTGTTTGTAAATTACACTATTGTCCCACTCATCTTTCTCAGAAACACCTAATAGCTTCTCTGTACAGAGCACGGGTGCTTCCTTGCCCATTGATATAGGTGACTTAGAGTTCTCTGATTTCTCAAACATCGAAACCAAATAAAACCTAAAGACAATGGAAACAAGACAAGATTTAAGTCTTGCTGTTTCTGGGTTGATTTATTTAGGAATATGGGTCTGTATTTATTTGAATGGGAATACCAAGATAATTTTAAGAATTACTATAGGTTAAAGAAAGATCGGTCACAAAAATACTTTATAGTTCTTTCCGATCTTTGTATGATATAGAAAAGCAGTTTTGCATTAATGATTGTCCTCTTATTTACATAAGTTAAGTAACAGAGAGGGAAAATAGTTCTCCCAGATGCATCTGTCCCCGATTTTCTCTCCAGTTACTTTTTTGAGAAGATGGCACACAGCAGAATTTCAGCCATTGAACTTTGTATTTCGAAGCCCCTTCTCTTTTACCAGATCTCTTGGACATAACACTCCAACTCATATGCCTCTGTTCTTCTTTCTAGTTGAAAGGGTACGCTGCCTTCCACAAGTTCAGCTGAATCCTCTGCCCAAGACACTCACCCTGGCTTTCGCTTCTCAGCTGGAGAAGACGTCTCTCTGTCCCACGGCAGACATCCCTGAGGCAGACCTCTCCAGAGTGGACCCCAAGCTCGTGTCTAGCCTGCTGCCCTTTCAGAGAGCTGGAGTCAAGTAGGTTCTTGATCTTCCTCTTGCTCTCTCTTGCTCAGAGTTCATCACTCTCCACCAGTGGTGTTCAGATGCTCTTTCTTCTATGAATGCTCATCTTTCTCTAGAAGGATCTAGGCATTAAACAGCTGGATGTACTGTTACCAAAGCCTGACTGTAACCATTGATTCTAAATTCCATAAATTAATCAGGACTCTATTGCAGGTTTGCAGAAACCCAGCTCAAGCTGGTTTAAGAAAAGAGATTTCTCAGTGCATGTACTAGAAAACCCAGGGTCTCTAAAGATCTTATCAGCACTCTGTCCCTCTCAGCTCTGCTTTCTTAATTTGCTTTGTTCTCGGCCATACGCTGCTCAAGTGTGGCAGCGGGGGATGCTAAGGACTCCCAGGTCACATCCATCAGCTCAGCAACCCAGCAGAAGCTCCTCTTTCCTGTGGGTCTGACACTGAAATGTGTGAAATCTGGTGCTGACACTGGAACCAGTCAGTCACTGAGTCCAGGGGGCTTGGAAGTCTTGTTGGTGAGGCCAGGCGATGGGCCCACCCCTGGAGCAAGAGTGGGAGGTGGTAGTTTTCTAAAAGAAAGTCAGGCTGCTCTTACTATAGAAAGAAAAAAGATTAGCCCATGTGCTGGCTTGTCCTTTTTTCCAGAGTTTCTTGGGAGAAGCAAAATGACAGGTTCGAACTTGCCTTCTAGTGAAAATACGGGAGGTGGAGGAGAGGAAAGAGGTCTTGGTCGTCCTTCCTGAAATAATGAAATCGGGATCCGTTACTCAGTGGTGTGGTGGGGAAGAGCCCCGGTCAAGGAAAGTGACTAAATTGTCAGTGGAACTGGCAAACGAAGACAGCTTGTCTACATGCGGCCCACTGTGGCATTTTGATTGAAGTTTGGCTCCTGTCTCGGACAGGATTTTGTTCTGTGTGTGGTTTGGGCACAGTCACACCATACCGCGTTCCCATGATCCCAGCTCTGCCTACTCCCCTTTCTTCCTTTCCTTCCAGCTTCTCTCTCTCTTAGGTGGCACGCTTTGCCATTTTAGGCCATCGTCTGTCCCGATGTCCTTTGGGCCTCATTCTCCTCGGGCTCAGGGCAGTGTTTTCCTCTGGCTCCTTCATTAATGCTAAGAGAGGTTGCCCACCCAGCCTTCAGTGTCAAGTTCTTCCTGTTTCTGGTGGAGATCCATGGGCCCAAGTAGTGCATGCAGGCTTTGCCAGTTAATCCTGTCACCGCCGAGGGCCTTTGTGTGCGAGGCACCCCACGGCCAGTGTGCATCAGAACCGCCTGGCCGGCAGTTGCCACCTTTTTCGCTATGGCTCTGAAAATGCTAATGGTACTTACAGCTTCTTCAGCACTTTCTAATTAAATCCAGATTTTTACCTTCATTCTCTGGAGAGGATGGGTTTGATGTTGAGGGAAGAGGGCTCTCAATTCTATGCTTTTTTTGTTTCGTTTTTGTATGTAGGAACTATAATCAAAAACTCCGTTAAATTTACGGAGCAAAATCTTTTAGATATATATCAGATTCCTCTAATGACTAAATAAATGGTCTCTCTCAAGAGACAAGTGAGTCGAGGCTCAGAAAGACAGCCATCTGCCTAAAGTCACTTAGTTCTTAAAAGTGGAACTGGGGCTTAAATCCATGTCTTCTGGTGGCGAGTGCATTGTTTTATGTTATGCCAAAATACGGCATTCGGTTGTGGGATTGTTTCTCTGTTATTGGGTATTTGCTTTGTTCTCATTTTTGGCCATTTTGTTCCTCAGTTGGGCCACCTCAAAGCAGAGAAAAAGGAAAGACTGAAATTCAAGTGTCTGTTTGCTTCGAGAATGACTCAGATGGGCTAAACCATATTGTAAATGGCTGCGCTGAGGAGGCCAAAACAAAAGGCCCTCTGTGGGTTTTGCTTGGGTGCTCCCTGTCTGCCCTGGCCACCCGTTTTGTAAATCAGAAAGTGTAAAAAATAAATTTTTTCACACTCGCCCTCCCTCCGTCTGTCTGTGTTGTGGATTGACCCCAGAAATGGTCCAGAAGATGTAACCCAAGCATGTGTGCCAAGAGGGAGCTGGGCCTGTTCAGAGAGATGAGGGTCATGCCACTGGGCTCCTTTCCTTTTCGCTGAAGGAATGTGGTGGCCATGACCTGGGGGATGCAGGAGGGATGGGATGTTGTCGCCGCTGAGAGGACAGAGAAGTGCCATGCCCAGGCACGCCTGCCTCACATCAGTCACAGATCTGCTGCTCTGTTTTCCAACTTTGTCGAATATTGGCCTTTGAAGGCTAGAAACGCGATTTCCAGGCAATTCAGAAAGGCCATTTGCAGCCTAAAATTCTTGGCAGCCTTACCAGCTGCTGTTTAGAAGAGGTTACGTTCTCTGTCTTTACTGTGTGAGAAGGAATGAAAAAGAGCCAGTCGCCTGGCTTCTCAAGTTTCTGAGCAAATGATCAGGTTTTCAGGAATTCAGGCGAACAAGGACTGGTGTTTGGAGCAGGAGACTGGACATCTGGCACTCAGGATCCTTTTAGCTTTTCATTGAGCCATCGGGTGACTCAAGCAAGTCATTCTTACTGTCTTGATTATTTTTCTTTTTTTTGTGTGTGGAATCGCAGCCATAAGAGGAACATTCATTTCCCTGGCACTTACACGATGGCGTCAAGCACTGTTTTAGGTGCCTTACATAGTAACTTTATTAATTCTCGCAGCAATCTCTGTGGTAGATCTTGTTATTTCCACCTACAGCTGCAGCGCAAGAAAGTTAGAGAACTTGCTTCTAAGTAGTGGAGCAGGGATTCCAACCCAGGCCAGGCGGGGTCCAAAAGAGTGGAATGCGCCCTTATTCACAAACTATCAGTGAGTTGTCTCACTGGCTGGAGGGCTTTGGGACCCTGAGGCTGCCAACGAGAACCTTTGCTGAGGCCGGTGCTCCCTCTTAGATGAATATCCTGTTCCACCCTCTCCTCTGGCCATCCTCCTCCTCTTCTCCAGCATTTTCTGCCTTTGCTGGCTCCTTTCCTTTGCCCTTAAACACACAGCGCCCATTCTGATCTTCAGAAAGCCATATTTTGACCATCATGTCTTTTTTCTTTCCTCCCCTTCGGGGCAGGTCTCTCACCTGAACAAGTGCACGCCTCCCGGCCCCTCATTAGAGACTGTTTCCCACTGTCCACCTTTCATATCCCACTGGGCCTCACCTGCATCGGGCTGAGGGTGACGCCTCCTATTGCCAGCTTCCTCCCTTGGCTTCCATGACCTAATCGTCGTATAGAAGTCCTCCCTACCTTTTGACCACCATTTCACAGTTTCCCTATTTGGACTCTTTTAAAAATTGCTATTATTCTGCCCCCTCATTGGCTCCTGCCCTTCCCTCTTTGGGGAGCAGGTCTCTTCCTGTGAGCACGGCCCATGCGGGCTGGCATGGTGGCCCACACCTACCCATGTGTATCACTTTACACGGTGGCGTGGTGGCAGGTTAACTCGTGCCCTGGGAGATGTGTTGTGTCACTGTCCTTGTCTGCTTTCAGTTTTGCCATAGCGAAAGGAGGCCGCCTGCTACTTGCCGATGACATGGGCCTGGGAAAGACCATCCAAGCCATCTGTATCGCCGCCTTCTACCGGAAGGAGTGGCCGCTCCTGGTGGTGGTGCCGTCATCCGTGCGCTTCACCTGGGAGCAGGTTGGTTCTCTTTGTACTGTGATTTTAACAAGGTTTTCCTTAGGGTTCGAGTAATAGCTTGGGTACAGGGCCTGTGATCTTTAAAGATTTTATTTCAGCTTAAGGCAGGAATGGAGATGAGATGCTTCCTGAGGCTAGACTCATGTGTTTCTGAATTAGAATCAGGTTATACCTTTAGGATGTTTGCTGTCTATCAGGCACCTTTATGACCAAAGAATCTGACATGAACTCAGCTGTACTGTATACCATAAATCCAGAAATGAATAAAAGTCCACATAAGCAGACTTGATGAAGAAGGAGACCCCAGTTCACCGTCTGTAGCTTTCCCCAGCTTTATACTGCCCATGGTGGCTGTTGGCTTCCTCACACCTTCACCTCTTCCTAAGTACCCCCGGAGCCACTTGTGGAGAAGAGGCAGCTCTGTCTGCAGCCTGTCAGCCTGATGCCCAGACATGCCCTTCCGACTGAGGAGAAAACAGAACTTTAAAAATATACATTGAAACAGTACCACATTCTTTTCCTGTCCTCATGATCTAAATTCTGCCAGTACCTCTAGAAACTAGTGATTCAGCACATATTTGTTTTGCATGTGTTAGATTCCCACCATACCCTCAAAAATTCTGGGAACTAGTCAGATAGTCAGATGAGACTGAAGAAAGAACCAGTGTTCCCCAAAGCAGAATTGTGTCACCCCGGGCATACTGACATGGAAGAGTACCCAGATGGTCTTCCACTGACTCTAGGTATTGGCTTTGGCCAGAGATGGCAAGATTTCTGGAGAGAGCAAGTGGCTTCATAGAAAATACTGATGTAGATATTTTCATCGTCATCAGTGCCTCTAGCGTACCAAGTTCTGCTAAAAATTCCTTTATAAATTTCTCTTAGAAGAGTCACATTCTTTCCCTGCAGACACTTACCATCTAGTTAGAGATCACAGAAATGAAATCTAGAGACACCACAAAATGACTGCTATGACTGCACTTGCTTATGGAGGAAGGAAGTGTCCTTTTAGTGGAAAGTGAAGGGGAGTGGACGGGTAAGAGGAAGATGGAATCGGGACAAGGGTTATGGCAAATGCCGCAGGACATGGAGGGACAGAGACCGAGTTTATTTTTCGGGGGGTGTTAGCATTGGTGCACACGGAGAGAGTGGAGATGATGGGTTGGCTGAGGTCCCAGCTGGCAGCTCTTGGGCCTGATCGTCATTTTGGTTTCATTCTCTCCTGTCGTCCCCAGGCCTTCCTTCAGTGGCTGCCATCTCTTAGCCCAGAGAACATCAATGTCGTCGTGACGGGCAAAGACCGCCTGACAGCTGGCTTGGTCAACATTGTCAGTTTTGACCTTCTGAGCAAGTTGGAAAAACAACTGAAAACCCATTTTAAAGTTGTCATCATTGTAAGTGACTTGGCAAAGTCTTTAAGTACTTTATCTTCATGGAAACTTTCTTCCTAAAAGCCCCAGGAACTTTCGTATCTATAATCTCACAGAGCCCCACTTGGACTGTAGGGAATTAGAAATCTTGTCTTTATTTTGTAGGGAGCTGACATTTTATTTCTCTCAATTAGTGGTTCTCAGCCCTGGCTACATATTAAAATTTCCTGAGGAGCTTTTTGAAAAGTGAGATTTACTAGGTCTGCTCTGGGCGTTTCTAGCCCATTTCTCCTCGTGTGAGGTCATGGATAGAGGCCATCCTGTGGGTCCCAGACTGCCCAGGGCTCTGGTAACTGCAGCCTGGACAGCAAGGCCATGTGCCGACATCTGATGCTCTCTTCTCTGCATGTCTCGGGCACACAGTTCAAACAGTTAATAAGTTTTACTCCAGCCATTATAAAGACTTTTCCTGCCCCACCAGAAAAGCTCTTTTTACTCCATATTTTTTTTTTTTTTTAAAGATGTCTGTACTCAACTCTTGCTCTGGGATGTGACAGCTTACTGGCTTGCCTTATTTTAGTCTCTAAAGAGACTTGCTACCAGCCATCTCTGTCAGCACTCAATGTATAACATGGCTTACAAATAAAAATTATGAAAGGCGTGCAGCTTCTCCCACCCTCATCCTATCTGTCCAGTGCCCACCCCCAGGCCAAGGAACCACGAACAGACATTCAGGGGTGAAGTGTGTGGTAGATGATTCCCCAGGTTGATGTTTACCCTCGTTTTTCTTTTTGGCAAAACAGCGAAACCCGATGCCTTCAGACACTATGAAAGGTTCTCCATTATTCAGACGTGTGAATTTAAAGAGCCAGTGATAGTTTTCTTCTCTTAAAAATAGAATTCTCTACTGACAGTGGCTTCTTGAATCTTGATGCTCAAATTCGAAGTGCATACCTTATCTAGAAGAGAAAGGAAAGAGTTTTTAGGAGGCCCAGAAAAAGTAGAGGCTCTGAGTCCCATAGGTCAACAAGGTTGTGATCGAGACTGTGCCTTGGGTTTCCTAGCACCAGGCTGACTGTCGTGGGGGCGGGGCGGGGGGTGAGGGGGCATTCATCCATGTGTTCTAACTAACAGTTGAGTCCCAGTTCCGCGCCCAGCACAGTGCTGTGAACTAGGGTGTGGAAAGAAGACAGTCATTCCCCGTCCTCCAAAGAACCACAGTCCAGTAGGGCAGAAAGACACATGCAGAGATCGTCAGGATACATTTCAGTGCTTTTATAGACACGTGAACCGAATATTAGCTCAGAGAAGAGTAGGTGAAGGCGCAGTTTCTGACCTCCAGGATCTATGATTATGATTTAGACATGAGAACCATATTCGTGTTCGTAGCATAAGCAAACTTAAATGTTTATATTTTTTCAAAGTTAGAGTCTTTCGGGGAGTCATTTCTGGTTTGGCACAAATTCAAGTGTGGCTTTGAAAAAATATTAGCATGCATGTGAAATGAAACATTCAGAGAACTACCCCAGGAGGATGGTGATGGTTCTACAATGTGCAGAAAGAATGCCACCTTCATTTCTTGAGTGTTTTCCAGGATCAGGTACTTTATACATAATCACCGATCTTCCCAATGGCCCCTAAGGCAGATATTATCCTCATTTCACAGCCGATGAGACTGACAATGAGAGAAGTTATTGCATAATTTGCCCATAGGCATGAAGCTAGCAAGATGGAGAGTCATTGATTAAAGCTGGATTGCATCTGGCTTTAGAATTCATGTTTTTCTGTTTCTGACTCAGCACTTAATCTGCCATACGAGTTTGAGCAAGCCACTTACCACTGTCGATGGTTCGTTCTTCAGTTAATTAAGTAAGATCCCTGTCCTCTTCTGACTTCAGAGAAATGTCTGAATTAAAGTGGTGGTTCTGAGATATCACACTTTTGTGTATTGAAGACATAAGCCATTCCTTGTGGTTAGTTATAATAGTGATTAGTTGTAATAGTGATACATTTTTACCCAGTGGTTAAAAAGATCCATTCCCTTCTATATCCTCTGGACTTTGTGCTGTTTCTCTCACTAAACCCCTTTTGATTGGCTGTCATATGGGCTCATCATCACACAGGAGTAAGAATGTTACACCCCAGGTTTCTGGGAATCGATACAGTGACATTTTGGGATTCATCTCACAGCCCCCTGGTTCGCCTTAGCTGAAACCGGACCGGGGTTTCTTATTGATCATCTTTAGCGATTGAGCCAGGATCTCACCAGTATTCCCTTCTTAGGGCAGCTGATACCACTAAGCACTAAGTGCTTACTAAGCGTCAGGACTATTCTAAGGGCTTTGTGTGTGTTAGCCTATTTAAGACTTATGACAACCCAATACATTAGGTACTGGTATTATACCCATTTCACAGATGGGGAAACTGGCACTGTAAAGAGGTCACATAGTTGCTCAGAGTCACATAGCAAGTAATTTGAATATGTACTAAAGTAGAAATTTTCTCCCCGGATGCTAAGAATGTATTAGTTACTTATTTGGCTTTAGAAAGTATGACATTCTAGTTTGCTTATGCAGAACAGAATCCAGAGCTATAAATAATCAAACTCTGTGTTCTGAACAGGGCAGTCAGTCCCTTAAAGACAGGAAGCAGTTCTTCTCGTCTCCAGTTTCCCACAGTACTTTGCCACAACTGCCTCAGTGACAGCACTTATAACATCGTCTGATGAGTTGTCAGTGTAGCAGATGTTCTTGCTTAGTGAGCCTGTGGGGGAAGGGGCTGGGCCCCAGTGTGGGGCACACAGTGGGTCTTCAGCACACTTTGCTTTAGTACCATACAGAGGTCAGGTGTGTCTTGAAAAGCAGAAGCCACCTTTCAGCAGTTTGTTCATTGCAGCCTGTGAGGTGGGCAGAGCAGGGGTTACTAACCCCATTTCATAGGTGGAAAACTGTCCCAGAGAGATGAAGCGAACTTCCCAGAATGTAGTGGAAAAGCTGATCCGGAACCTGGGCCCTTCCCCAGGCCCACAGCTGTCTCCGTAAACAAAAAAGTGCTGATGGAGGCATCCTCAGTGTGATGCCCAGGCAGGATCAAGCGTAACGTGGGCTCTGTCTCTGTCCACTGACCTTGTTCATCTAGGCAACTGTTTTTATTTTCAGGATGAATCTCACTTCCTCAAAAACATTAAGACCGCCCGCTGCCGTGCAGCTGTGCCCCTCCTCAAGGTGAGTCTTGCTGAGAAGAGACTTGGAGCCCGAGCCCACTTGGCACTGCGATCCCTCTGTGGTTTGCTCAGGCTGGCAAGGGGTCCGAGGGGAGCAGGGGCTGCAAGTCCGGACCTGTGGGCTGTGGACATGACTTAGCATTAACTTAGAGCTGTGCTGCTAGATTTTGTTTTTTCCTAACATCCTGCTAAGGAACTCAGGGTCATTGCAGTCGTCTCTGTCTCTCGAAGATGAAGGCCAGTCGAAGGTCACAGGCCTGGTTGGGACGGTACACCAGAGCCTCCTGGCTTTCTCCTAGACAGGGCGGAGGGAGAACCTTTGGCAGCACGCCCTACACAGCTCAAAGAAATTGTCTATCTTCTAAGTCGCTTGTGGGGCAGAACTCCTGGTGCTGTAGAACCAAGGGAGATGAGTGATACAGACTTAGAACCAGGCCTGTGGGTATCACAGGAAGCGATGGCAAAGCGGATGTTCCTTACAGGCCAGTGTCCTTTTCTTGGGCCACCCTTTCTAGGGTGGCTTAAACTTGTGCCTGAGCACTGTGGCTGGTTGGGGCCTGGCTTCAGAGCAGGTGCAGGTGTGTATATGGGGTGCCTTCAGATCTTCATCCAGGAGTATTCTATTCTGGTGCGCAGCATCAGCTCCATGTGTCATCTGCACACACTTCCGTGCCTGTGTTTTGTATCCCAGCAGAGGGACAGCCCCCCGGATTTTCTTCCGTCTTTTTGAAGTGAGCTTTTTCTTAATGTTGGGGGAAAATAGTACAATTGGAAAAGTAACTGTTTCTCTCATAACAAGGTAGAAATCTCAGACATGACATGTTAGGGGAATCCACTTTGGTTTGTGTAGACGGAGCAAACAAAAGCGTGTTTATCTTGTGCCCTATTAAAGCAGCCTTGTTGTTGCCCCAGCATTTTAAAACTGCAGCTTTTGTTGTTTAAAAATAGCTTTAAGTTGTACCTAAACTAGGGAAAACAAATATGCTAAAGTGTCGGTGAAGCTTATTAGCATTTGAAAATTAATTTTTTCTCCTCCCCACAAAACACACACAACTGTCTACTCATTTCAAGTTTTGTTTTGTTGAGGAATAACAAGTAATATGACACATCTTCCAAAGCAGGATTATGTCATATACTTCAAACTTAAAAGTTCTTTACTTAAGAACCTTGATCCTCTGTTCATATTACTCATAAATATTTATTGGTTGGGAGCCATTTATGGACACACTTAAATGTTTTCCCCAGGGTGCTGACCCTTCTTTTGGGAGGCTCTAATATGTTTTCTTTGGAAAAATGTTAATAGACCTTGGTATTGTGGTTCCAATACCACATTCATAACTAAAATTAAATCTGTAAGCCTGATTGTTTAGACAAAAGAAACTGCACAATGGATAGATGATATCATTAAAGGTATAATAGGGAAGCTTCTTAGCAACCGTCTCGTTAATGCATCATCTCCCGGTCAGGCGTGCTAGACCACAGGTTGGTTTCTGAAATACGTGCTTCTGAGCCAGACCTTCGAAAGCAGAGTTTACGTCTTCAAAGTGACATATTTAAAACAAATCTTTTAATTCTTAACTGGCATATAGAACTCTGCATTAGCTGGAGAACGTGGATGAATTAGCATATAGAATATAGTCTGCTGTTTGAGAAAGTCTCTCAAAGCCACTGTCTTCCATAACGTTGCCTTCGCCTGATGCTGGACTGTTGGCAGGATCGAGAGGAGACGGGGCGAAGCATGCTGTGTTTTTCTGTTAACCAGACCTTCCATCTTTCTGTTGTATTTTCATGTAGATTGGAGTTTCTCAGTCTTGGCACTATTGACATTTTGGGCTAGATAATTCTTTGTTATACGGAGCTATCCTGTACCTTGTAGGATGTTTAGCAGCATCCCTGGCCTCTACCCACTGAAGGCCAGTAGTACCCCTGGCTCGTGACAACCAAAATTGTCTCCAGATATTGCCAGATGTCCCTGGGTGACAAATCACTCCTCCCCATCTCTGTTGAGAACCACTGATCAGATACTTTAAGGAAATGAATATAAATAGTTTGGGAATAAGAAGAAAGTTGGGAAGAAGTAAAATATGCCTTTGAAAAGCTATATAGAAAGGGGTGAAGGGAGTCAGTTGTATGGTGATGGATAGTAACTAGACTTTCGGGGATGATCACATTGTAGAGTATACAGATCTCAAATTATAAAATTGTATACCTAAAACTCATATAATAAAACCATACATGGAGGAAATTTAATACCACTTAATTGTTCCTCTAACTTGTATATCTCTTAGAACTATATTCTGATAATTAACATTTTAAGATTTTTCAGCAAGTGTGCATGATGAGATAATTAGGTTATATCATACAGTCTGAGATAGATGGGCCGGATCATATCCAGAAAATGGATTTCGTAAATGGCAACAGCAGCCATGTACAGATGACATGTTGCCTAGGTTGTAAGAAACTGGTGTCATTGTCCCCTGGGAAGTGTGATACCTCTATTTCCCCATAGCACTATTTTCCTAGGCTTCTAAGCCAGGTTCTATTTTTATATAAATGTGATAGGCAAGAATGAAAGCTATAAAGAACGTCTTTATAATCATCTCCAATCCCTCGAACAGTGAAAACTACTATGAGCGGTTTGGTTCTTTTTCTAACATGTCAGTTATAGGGCAAGATCATAATTTTTAATGGCTCTGGAGCGTTCTGTTGCATGAACACATTTCATAATTTAACCCTTAGTGTTAGAAGTTTTTTGCTATTATAAATAATTGTGCAAGTGAACATCATCTGTATATTCATAGCTTTCATACTCTGCCCTTGTAAGACAAATTCCTACACTCAGAATTACTGTCCTCATTTTACCTTTTGATAGATTCCCCCAAAGTGCAGTCTTGCCAGGTGTAACTGTCTTTGGTCCCACTCACCAAGAATCACAGGGTCTTTTTCTCCACATGACTCCAGCACTGAAGGTTATCAGCATCTTCCCTTTGAGCAGTGAGCTGTGAGTTTGGGTTTACTTTGGCTAGTTTTTATTTACAGTGCTTTTTATTGTTAAATGGTATAATAACATTATAAACAGTATCCAGTTATTTCTTTAGAGGGAGAAAGGCCCCCAGAATCCCACCATCCTTTTCTAATAAATACCCTTCTCTTTTTATGTGAGCAGAGTCCTTTTTATATCTCTGTTGATTGGCTAATGAGATGAGAATAGTGGTCTAAGATGTATGAGCTTTTTTCTTTTACCCTTTTCATTAAAATAGTTTAAATAGATGATATAATCAAATAGTACAAAAGGGTGTATAGTGAAAAAATAACTCTTTCTCCCACCCCTGGATCCCCAGTCCCTTGATCTTTCTCCCCAAAGGCACAGCCATAGTTACCAGATTTTCAGACTTTTCCTCTAAGAATTAGCTTCTGTCCACGTAGGTACGTGCATGTATATGCTCTTCCTTTCTCCCTGCTCAATGTTCGACAACCACAGTTTTGCGCCTGCTTTTCTTCCCTTAATAGTGTATCTTGGGAAGCATTCCACATCATTCCAGATGACTGGACCTCATTCTCTCAAACGTAATTCTGTTGTATAAGTCTGTCATAAAAACATGGATTACCTGTCCCCTTTCGATGGATTTGTAACCAGGCTTTGGCTGTTGCGTACTGTACTGCAATGACCATCTTTTCATATGATACACAAGCGGGGAGTAGGAAACCCAGTTTCTCTGCGTCTAAAAGAGATGGCTCTTCACTCCTCTCAGGCCAGAGAAGAGAGTGATGTCAGCTGGAGGGTCTGCTCTCTTCCCCCAGGGTGACCAGGTTACAGGAATTGTCCCTGTGGTCCAGCTGTTCTGGTAAATTTTCTCAATTTCATCACAAAGTCAATCTTAAAATGAAATTACTAGAGTATAATATTTAAGTTAAAATAGACTGTTTTCTCCCACTTTAGTGTTCATTTTGGCCTGTATGCTATGTTAATAATACCTATATATGTGTTTTACATACCTTGAAGGTCAAAATGGCGTACCTGTAATTAGCCGTAATTACACCACTTGATGTATTCTCATAACATGTTGGTATTTTTTAATCAGTACCGCTGTAGTCACAGTCTGCATTCTGTCTGTTCTTACCCAAGAACTAATTGCCTTATACATGGCATCAGAATTTCATTAATATCGAAGCAATGCTATTTAGCTTGAAAGCACAGTGATTATCATGAGATCAGTTTATTAAGGCGGTGACTGGAACTTTGTCTTTTTTTGGAAAAAGGCTAAAACCTAGAAGGAACTGCTTTTATGTAAAATATGCTGACCTAACCAGAGACTCAGAAAGGCCATTTACTGGTAGGTGGATCTTTAGGGTGGCCTCTGGTCAACAATGGTCATAATTATGCCATTTTCTTGGTTGGGTTTCATTTGTCATGGAAGCAGAGTCAGGAACAGATACTCTCGGACAGAGTATGGAACGGAACCACAGTCTTCTCCCCAGAGTCCAGTCCCTGGATTTCTCCTAACACCGAGTTTCCCCTCTTGTTCTCAAGCTTTAGATTTAACTACAGGTGTTGACTCTTTTGTTGCTGCCCGGGGAGTGGCCAGGATCCTGCATTTGTTCTGATCTCTGTACTTTGGTCACTGGTCCCCACACCATGCTTGCCGCTGTTCTTTTTTTTGAAGATTCTGTAATGACTTCTGAACTAACTGAAACATAGCTCCAATGTCCTTGCCACATCAGGGCTAATGAGTATCAGGACACTTGGATGCTATGGACTTGACCTTCACTTTGGTATCACCAGCCTTCTCATGTCCTGTTTCTAAAGCATAGTGGACTTTGCCTGTAGCATAAACTTTATTGAGAGTACCATTAGGAATAATATTGGGTACGAGAATGGAACTAAGCTTGGGTAGCATGACTTTTTTCCTAGTCTGGAGTCTTGATGAAATATGATATAGCCAATCAGAATAATTCAGTAAAGCAGGTTATTGGCTCAGGAAAAAAAGAGGTAACAATGGAAAGTGATGAAAAATTCCCCGACCGCTTCTTGTATGAACTTAAAACAACAGTTCTTTTCTACATTTTCTCTCATACTTTTGGCTCATGTTTTAAAATCTATGTGTAGGTTATCTACTTTGAATTATTTCATTGGATTCTCCTTGGCAAATTATACATACCAACTTGTCCTACTATCAATCTGCAGGGCTTCCCCACCCGTGACCCATGAGGCAACCTGAACATGGCCTTGAAGGTTGTCTGCCCCTAACAATGTCTGCTCATGTGAATCACATAATTTCTCTCAGACCAAATAGAAATTATTTTTACATCGTTCCATTGTAGCTTTCCTTCCTTAGGAGCTAACTGTAAAATGTTCATTTTAGTGTCAATTTGTGTAGTTTTTACGCATTGATGTTTTCCTAGAGTGGAAGTTCTCAAAAGTGGAGGGTGACATATAAATCATGTGCAGCTGGGCATAAATAAAGGCATTATGGATGACAGTGATGACAATATAGACTTGTCAAGGCTAAGCAGGGAGCAGGCTAAGTCAGTCCATAATAGATGAGATGCCTTTCTGGGTTCTTTTCAAGGCTGACCTTTTCCTTTTCCATAATCCTGCTCCTGCTTTCTAATACCTGCACACGTCCTTTTCCAGCGGTTCCCTCACCTGCTAGTCTGGACAGCGTGCAGAACTGACTCAGTTCATAGGGTATGAACTCTACCCTGTAAGTATCTGACAGAGGACCCCCGAAGTGAATTTCCGCCACCTGGTCTGTGAGCTGCTGCCCAGGCTTCCTCCCTGGGCAACAAATAGCAGCGGCCTGGGGAATAGGTTTGGGATGATGGGCCAATTTTCTCTTATCCATAAGACTTCTCATTTTCCCTATTTCATCAAAATGGTCTTGAGCCTAGGCAAGCGATATAGACATCATTCAAGAAGCTCATTGTTATTTTAATGAGTCTGCATTAAACCGTTCAGGAAATTAGAGGGCCTGGGTAATTGAACTGTGGAAAATTATAGCTGGAGAAATTCATAGCTCTCCTGTCATAATGGAATTCGGTACCGGCGGCTGCTGTGAGGGCAGAGGTGCATCTTGAGAATTGTATATACTGTATATTTATAAAGAATCATTCTTCTTTCCTCTGTTGCACCTTTACTTATTTATTTTTATGAGGCGAGTGTATCCATTTGAAAACCTAATTTCCTCCTCCAGGTGATTTGCTGTATGGATTGCCTTATACCGCTGTCATTAGCTCAAGGTTACAGTGGTTAACAAGCTGTTTCTAAACAACCGTGCTCCACAGCAGTGTCTCTTCCCAGAGCTGAAATGAATTTTACCTCCAGTAATCTTTGGTGATTAGTGTTCTAATCAGTGGGAAGTGTATTAGCTCTTTTTATTCTCACCCTCTTTTCCATCTTAATAAGAAGTGGGATATTTGGGTCTGATCCCCTGGGATCAGGTTGGAGTCAGGGTAGTGAGCAACCTGAAGTTCATCATTGGCATCGACTGACTATTTATTTCCAACCTGCCCACTGCTGAGTAGGCTGCTGCATACCCGAGCCGAGTTTAGGGTAAATGGATCCAGGTCTCACCTTTAAAATCCTTATTGACTGCAGTGGGAGCTTGAGTCAGGGCTAGCTAGGTGCAAAGCATCATGCACTAGGTTATCGATGGCCATTTTTTCCCTAATACATAAAATCAAGTTGTGGCTTATCCACAGGCAAAGCCTGACACTTCCTCCTGGGAGTGGGATAGGGGTTGTCCTGGGTGTCATTACTGGACGTCAGACATCCGTCCCAGAAGTTCAGACCCATTGCTTTCTCCCCCATTTCCGCTTGGTCTTCCAATGCTGGATTCTTTAAGTTTACTCCATGGTCCCCAATACACTAATTAGCTTCTCTCTGAATATTTCTCAGCATATGGCGAACATTTATTAATTGCTTTGTGCCAGGTACTATGCTACAGAAAATGAAGGTGAACACAGACTAGTCTTCAATGTCAAGAAGCTCAGTCTGGTCAGGGAGACAGAAAAGACAGAATTCAGCAGCGTCTTGTGTCATGTGCCAGTGTAGAGATGGGCAGAGCGTGCTACAAAGGCCACTTAGGAGATGACATCCGTCTGCTTACATGCATGCTCTTCTCTGGTCACAGCACCTTCGCTTAGCAATCCCACATTGTGGGCCATAGAGAGCTCTGGAGCGAAGCCAGCCTCTCGTGTCTTTGGAATCTAGGCCTTGTTCTGAGACGATTGAACTTGAGAACTGCTAGCAGTCAGCGTGCCCAGGAAGTGAAAGATACTCGTGCTCATTTCCAGGGGACTTTGCTGTCCCTGGGGCTCCTGTATCACTGGGAAGTTGAGATATTCCCCATGTGCTTCTCTGAGTGTTCTCAGCACCGTTGGCTGTTTGTTTCCTAGATTGCCAAGCGAGTGATCCTACTGTCGGGCACACCAGCCATGTCACGGCCTGCCGAGCTCTACACGCAGATCATTGCGGTCAAGCCAACGTTCTTCCCTCAGTTTCATGCCTTTGGACTTCGCTACTGTGATGCCAAGCGGGTATTTATTCTCTCTTCTTTCACCAGCCCACCCATCCCTCACCCTGGTTTTGACGTTTAACGGTTCTGTCCTTTCTCTCTGGTCGTGATGTGATCAGAAGAGCACGGCCAGGGAGCGGGACCAAGATTCTAGCTCTGCCCGGGCCTGACTCTGCACTCAGGGTAAGTAGAGAACAGTCACTCCTAGTTTTAACACTTGTGGGTAGTGTTTTCCAATAAAGGGACCAGTGGCGAACGTGTAGGAACGTAGGGTGCTGATAGTATGAAAACGTCCTCTGAAAAAGTAAAAAAAATGCTCTGTACGAAAAAGGCAAAGGACACCTTCGAACAGGTGGAGAAGGTAGTATGATCTCTGGCTGCCAAGGTATACTCTCATTCGTGAGCCTTGTCTAGTAAGTGTTGACTCACTGTAGTGAGTCGTGCCTGGTCGGTAGACCAGAAGCCTCTGACCTCCACGTTATTTCTATGAATATGGTGCCGGTGGAGCAGGAGCCTCAGGAACTATAATCTGTGCAAATTGAAATCTCAATTTCTAAAACCTCATTTTTTTTTAACTGAAAAAAATGTTTATTTAATGATATGGGGAAATACAAGACTGGGAAAAGTAGAATGCAAAACTTTCCCATCCTCTCTCCCTCCATTCCTTCCTACCTTCCTTTCTTTCCTCTCTCGTTCTCTCCTCTCTCTTTCTCTCTCATATATGACAGGAAGGTAACGTATGCCAAAATGGATTACTTTTGTAAGCAGAGAAAAATCAACATTTTAAAAAGATTTAAATTACATTATTCATAAATCCCAAATTTCCCCTGTTGGGCCATTGAATCCATTAGTGTTCATTAATCTCATCAAGCCAGCTGAGCATAGGGCACTGTTCTCACAGTTTCCTTTGTGTCTCTTCCAAAGCCACCCACTTCAAAAGGATGACCTTGCCAGGCAAAAGGCTACTGTTGAAGGATAGATTTCATCTCTTGGCTTTCCTCTAGATCCCGCAGTACCTCATTTTTGAATATAGGTCATAAAATTTCTAGCTGTTACAAATATTCTTTCTTGTAAGCCGGAGGGAAAGACTCAGGGAAGTTAAGAGGAGGGGAGGGGCCCATGTTTTCCTCTTTTATCGCTGGAAATCCTCATCATCCGATAGATCGTAGGTCACATGCATAGTGTGTGTGACCTCCACTCTTTGTGCAGGTGAATTTTGCAGAAATTGCCTGTGCTGGGCCTCTCCAGACATGGCATAAGCCTTGGCTACTACCACACTTGCCTCTGCAGTTGGGGGCTGACTTCATGAACAAAGAAACACAGATGGAATGGGCCTGCTGCAGGTGCTGGGGAGCCTGGTCATGTTTCCTCTGTATCTGCAATTTCCTCATATGGTCCGATCAGATCTGACACCCTGTTACCCTTGACGGTAATAAAGTATGCCAGTTGCTAGGTTCGGCCCATTGGATGGCCAGGGAGGCTCTGCCCCAAGCAACTTTGAGGTCTTTCTCTGAGACTTGTAATCCACAAATGCCTCCCTCATATAATTCTTTCAGCTCCTTCTTCTCTCTGCCTTCTGCTGGTTGAACTAGGCCTGTCTGCCATGGTTCTCCAGGAGGCAGGCCATCCCCAGAGTGTGGTAGAGCATGACCAGAGCTTCCAAGATGTCCTCTCTGTCCTTGTCTGGTCGAGTCTCTCTCCTTTCCAGGTCAGCAGTGTGGTCTGGGTGGACCCAGGATGTTTCTTGGCCCAAACTGGGCGGCCTCTCAGTGTCGGGTAGCTGTAGCCAGGTTGACCAAAGCCTGCGCACGTTTCTAGTATCCTTTCCCAAAAATAACCCGAGAAAGGGTGGCCCAGTGAATCAGGCCCTTGTTTGCATGGGTGTCCAGTCTTTCCTTAACCAGCTGCACTGTTTTCTTCTGGGGTTGACTGCTTTCCCTTTGGGAAGAGACGCGCAGTCTAGGGCTTCCTCTTCCTTCTTGGCTGTGGTGCCTTCAGTCTCTCACCCCCACCAGTGGAATGCAGCTCCTCTGTGGCTGGTGTGGTGGGATCTGGGTTTGCTGTGACGGATGGAAGCAGTCAGCCTCACTGCTGACAGCTGGGGTGCCCACGGGGCTGGCTCCCATCTTCTTCCCGAGCCCTGAGTGGCTCTCTCTAATCCAGGCTCTGGGACATCCACGATCTGAAAACCAGAAGGGAATATTAACTAATTTCTCTTTCTAATCTCTACTTTCAAAACCAAGGCCAAGGCAGTGAATTCATTCTTCATCAGTATAGCAAGGTCAAACTTTTCAAATCCCTAAACTCTGTTTCCATGAGGTGTCATGTGGCCCTGAATTCGAACAAAGTTTGGCCCCTCTCTCAAGTGCAGATTGAGCCTCCTTCCTGGTTCTGCTGTAACTTCATAAACCTTGAAGCCACATTTTTATGACCATCCCCTGGCTTCTTTCTTGTGGGCAGTGCCCCTGCCACAGAGGACTAGGTGGACTGTAAAACCTCATTAATTCAGACCTTAAGGTCTCCTGCTTTGCGATCAAATCACAAATATACCAAGCTGCTATGTCCATCGAAGACGCTGACACTTGGGAGAAGTGGCTGTACCTTATCCATTGCCCATGCCATCCATGAGGAGCTTTGTTATGTAAGTTCATTTTATTTTTAAATAATTTTTTAAAAGAAAATAAAACTTTTTAAGTACTTTAAAAATATCCACTTAAATTCAAACAAAGTACTTATAATGTAAATTGTAGTGCTCTGTGAAGTTAATTGCAAACCATTTTTAGCTTGTTACTGAGACACAATTTCTGTTATTGAATGTATTTGAAGCCATATACTTATTTAACAAAATCTGTAATGCACTTTCCCTGTGGATCAACCCAGATTAGATTGATTATGTATAGTTTTCATGGTCCCTCAAAACCCTTCATGTGTGATTTGTACCTTTGTCCTGTTTGTAGATGGTCCACTTTCTGAAACGGATCTTCTCGTCCTTGACTGTCTGGGCCCATGGGGTAACAACATTACCCCAGTGATGCGAGGGGTTACAGATGGAATTCATTACCTTCACTCCCCAAACTGTCCCTTCCTGTGTGTCTAGTCTCCGACCACTCTATCCTCAGTTTCTCATGCCATCCTCAAATTCGTCTTTGGCCTCCCTCTTGCTGCCCGCCCCCCACAGCACCCAGTAAAATAAACATAGATAATGCCTTCTTTATCTTTGTGTCCTTCCTTCTACCTAGCCCAGTGCCTGGTGCCTGGGAAATTTTCCACAAAAGCTTACTGGATTTTGATTATTCCAAAGTCCACTTTAAAATCTTCAGTATTATTGGGTTTTAACCTGCAAGATTAAGAGTTGATAATATTAGAACTTAGGAGTATGATATCCAAATTAATTACGATACCCACTTATTCTCAGCATGATTTTTATTTAATGCAGCTGATGGGCCAGGGCTACTTTTTTTGTATATGTAGCCAGCTTCTTGCATTAATAAAAGCTACTGAAGAGCATGCCCCATGCTGAACTCATTTTTGTCCCCATAGCATGAAGGCATTTGCTGAGAACTTCCCATTGATTTCAGAGTATTTTTTTTTTGAAAGAAGCAGTTTTTGATCATTTTATTTCTCCACCTTTGACTCTTTCTTCGTATTCTCAGTTAGCAAAGGTGTATAGGAAACCTACCGTGTCTCCACAATTACACTAGGTCCACTGGCCCTCGAAAATGAATAAGGCTCACCCTTACCCTAGGTACTTCACAGTCCAGGGGAGGATGAGGCAGGAGGGGAGATGAGTGTCTAAAAATGTAAGGAAACAGATACCCTGGCCCCCCAAATTTTTGTAAGACCGTAGAAATCAGTCCTGTTTCCAGTAAGATTGTTTGTGAAAGATGGGGTTTTTGTTTTAATCGATGACATCTTCTCTCTCTGTGTGACAGAGAGTACATGTCCTTGCTCATTGCCTCCGATGAGCTACTAAATGAGGGAACCAGGTTTTTGAAGGACCGCCTGGGCACTTCGACACCCACGTCGGGTTTCAGCCAGACTGGTAGGAGCCCGTGTTCTGGGCTCCTCCCTTCAGCCCCACCACCAGTGCTGCAGCTGGGTTCGCTACGCTGCTCTTGGTGTTGGTGTCACCCACGCTGCAGAGCAATGGGCTTTTTTAAGTCCCCGCACATCTAATTGAGTAAAGACATTACTGACAACATTGGTTATTACATTGCATAAGGGACTCCTTGCTGTAAGCCTTAGGGAAGACCGTGTCTGTATTTATTATACAGGAATAGTCCGGCAAGCTGACATCTTACTTGTTTTTTCATGTAATGGACACCGAACCGCTGATATCTCGCATTTGCTGCCAGAAAGCTTAGTGTCAGATCGTGGAAGGCCGTGATACGTGTATTTTGTTCACCTTGTTCCTGACTTCTCTT